CCTATTTTCCTTTTTAACTGAAGTAGAGTTGACAAACAATATCATGTTAGTTTCAGTGTATAACATAGTGCTTCAACATTTAAATACATCACAAAATGACCACCACAGTAAGTCTATTAATCCAGAGGGCCTATTTTCTTACCTTAACCGGAGAACGTGTCATCATCTCCCCAGACCCTCTAGGGAATATTCGTGCTTGAGCAATCATTTCCAACACACTAGTTTTTCCAGCACTTTGATCTCCAACCACAACAACCTTATGACAAAATAAATACCACATATTCATATCTTTTGATACCAACTTAAATTTAATAGATTTGGAATGCTGCTGAGAAGTTTTAGTCTTAAAAATTATCCACAATTAAATGATTTTAAAATATCATCCAGAAAAAAATGATGGTTCATACATTGATGTGTATTGAAAACATAAACAGCAAAACATTAACTGGATCCATTATTTACAGCCAAATTTTTATTAAAAACTCATGCTAATTTAAACCACTAGTTTTAAAAACACATTAATATTCCACAAATCTTTTCCATAGCTAGTTTACTCTTTACAAAGACATTTTCAATTCTATAAGGTTAAATTTCACTCATGTACCTAATCTTATCCACCATTCAGGTATTTTAATATCATGGATATCATGAATACATAATGCCAAATATCTGAAAGCCTTACTTTATTATGCATAAATATAAGTAAACCAATGGACCAAAATAAAGAGTCAAACAATATTCAATGCTTAGGGCATCACCTAGAACACATGAATATTACACAGAAAATTTTATGTCTTTGTCTATGTCTATACATATGTGTATGTATTATGTATGTAACTTTTTAAAAAACTACAGTGCTTTTTTGCTAATGGGCAAGTTCACTGTGTACTAATTTTTTACTTACCCTTGGCAGATGATCTTGTGTATTATAACTGGCATCATAATCGGACAGAACATCAAGAACTTCAGAGTACATGTCAATCAAAGATTTCTATAAAATTCAAGAAATGAGTAATATAAAATAGTGAAAACATTTTTAAAAAACCACAGATGTGTCGATAAAAGAGCTGATACATTCAAAATGTTTCCATAATAATTGTATTGCTTTTCCTAGTTACGCAAATAAATATTCCTAGTAAATGTAAAACAGTACAGAATAAAATTCCATATGTTTTTATCAAATTTATTTTAAAGAGACAATGATTTAACACAGTATATTAATTCATGATTTCCGAACCTTCTAATTAAATGGTAAAAGAAGGAGGTTATTGTTTAATATTGAAGAGCTAACATTAAGTGCCCAACAAAGGAAGACCATTAACACCAAAAAACGCCCAATAAGGGGTCAGGTGACCAGCTGAAAGGAATGTTTGGTGTATGCGTCAGAGTGGGAGAGAAAGAGAGACTGGAGAACTGGTAAAGTAGAGAAAGAATCACCAAGATTATTGTTAAATCAGTATGAATGATTAGTGTACACTGATAACTGGGCAGACTAAAATGTGAGAGCACCAGGGGCAGACATCTCAGTAAAAACAGTATCAAACACAGTGCCTGGAAAATTATAAGCTTCAAGTATTTGAGGAATGATTGAACATATACACAGGCCTGGGAAAAAGGTTACTATCAAGCATTTAATAATTAAAGGTAAGTTTCAGTGCCAAAGTAGGAACAAAATGAGGGTCTACACTGACTTTCATCTCTCAACACCTAGAAATAAAAGGAAAGCAACTCTTATACCCTCCACCTAAAAATAAACCAAAAACTTTTCGAATTTTCATTACCATTTCATTTTATGAGAGAAAATACAATTTCTCAGTGTTAATATATATAATTCTCAATATATATTAACACTTGGATGTGGTTTTTCCCATCTGCCATGTGCTGACTTATAAATAAAGTCATGCTATTTATTTGTTTTATGCAGTCGTAATTTGGAGTCACAACTATTAATACATGTTGGTTAAACTAGGGCTATATATCTTTGGACCTTGGCTACAAAATGAATGTGCCATGATTTATTGCAGTTTTGCTACGTACATATTCTGTTTACTTATATGACATTTAAGTTAAAAGAATTACTTCAATTTCATTTAGCACATAAAGGTTGGTTTAGTGGGGAATAATAAGATTTAATTAACTGATAATGGTAATTACCAATGTGCTGATGATAAAAATACCAGCATGCTTTTTCAAAAATACTTTAAAATGTCTAAGGAACCTTCCAGAAGAAAACATTAACTATTGTAAAACTGGAGGAAGTGGCCTCTTCATTGAGTGGCAATACAAGTAAGGCAATGAAAATAAGACATACGTAACTTTCTATCAACTTACACTGCTGGTTTTATAGCTGTATAAATTAAGTAAACCTAGAGATAAACTAAATATTTCAGAAAAAAATAAACTGATTCACAAGAAATGACTCTTGAAAGTATGAAAATTTATGGATATAGTATAAAATAAATGTTTGAAGATTATAATTTGTGGAAAGTCTTAGGAAGAGACCTCCCTATCCCCTAAGCATATCAGGTTAGAAATAAAAGGATAGAACCCTTTGCAGTTCCTTAAAATCCGGTATTGATCAACACACAATGTGAAGTGGTAAAGTTCTGAGAGCGAACAAATTAAGACAAACTTAAAGTACCTTAAGCTTTCTGTGATGGATGCCTTTGTCATCTTTCTGTAATACTAATTTTCTCAATTCTTTGTTCTCCTTTTCTAGCCGTTCCAAGATTCTCTGGTACTTTAACTGCAACAAAATAATACACATAACTTTATAAGAAAGAGATGGGTTAAAAAATAACGTAAAGGGTAAATTAAAATCTTCCAAGATCCTGAAGCAATATCTCCTGCCTACTTAAAATGAATTATTTCATTTAAAAGTCATCTATGAAAATGTTGAACAAATAAATTATGAATATTATCTCAAACAATGAGCTTCATTATAGTTTTCTATTTCAATTGGAATTTTGTTTGGAAAAGTCTTTGCTGTTTATGTTGAAGAAATTATTAAAAATACTAAAAATGAAAGGAGTTGAAGAAGGAAGTTCTTAAGTATCCTCTATGAAGCAATATTTCCTATTACAACAAAATTTTAAGTCTTCATTAAAGGGACATTTGACAAAAATTCAAACTCTCCCCATCCCCCATATTATTTTATAAAAATGATATAAAATAAAAATAGCTAACAGTACCTGACTATTCAGTATGTGACAGGCCCTTTACTGACTGTTTGACCTGCATTAACTCCCGTAAGCCTTCAAGTGAGGCAAAGGTTATACAGATTAGGAATCAGAGGTCAGGGATGCTTGGTAGCCTATCTAAGGTCACAGAGTTTTGAATACAGGTCTGAGTTGAGGGGTCAAACTCTTCCAAGTTTTGGTAAGTTTCTGTGGCCAGAAATTACACATTAATTTTTAAAATATTGATATAAGAACAATTTAAAGAAAACTAATACATTTAGACAGGCTTTTTTGTCAAAGTAGATGCTTGGCTATACAATGTTCTTCTAGAATAAATGTGATCCTTTTCTAATTGGTCTTCTCTGTACACTATTATTTCTTCTCTAAACATTAACAATGTTCAGAAAACTATTAAGAATTACTCTTTCCTATAACCAACTGGATGTTTATGTCCAACTTACAATAACATGACTCTTATAATGGAAAATATTTCTTAGAAAATGTTAGGTTGTTATAATCTTCCAAGCATACAGTAAATAACAAGAGATCATGGCTCTATCCTCAGAGAATGTCCAGCTTAAGCCAAATTAAAGAAAATATTATGTAATAGTACGAGACAGGTAGAACTACAGGCTAGATTCTATTATAAATATATTTTTACAGAATTTGTTCATCTATCTGCAGTAATAATATATATAACAAAATACTGGTAGTTATCTAAGAATTAGATCTGTGCTGTCTAATATGGATGGTAGCCACTAGCCACATGCAGGTACTGAGCACTTGAAATGTGGCTAGCCTGAATGGAGATGAGTTAAGTATAAAATACACACCAGATTTCTATAATTCAGTAAAAATACATAAACACCACATTAATATTTCTTATACTAATTAGATGTTTAAATGATATTATTTTAGATCTGCTGGGTTAAATTTATTATTAACATCAAAATTCTACCTATTTCTTTTCACCCTTATTTTAATGTAAAAATTTTACAGTGCATGGCTTGCATTATATTTCTACTGGACACTACTGATATAGATAACGCTATTATTACATCATGAACTCTCCATCAAGTGTTTGTCAATGCCTAGCAGCTGACAACAACTGTACAAATTGAAGGGTTGATATCAATAGGTATCTATAGGGGTGGCAGGATTTCCACTGGCTCACTTCCTGGTAAATATGGAATCAATTATGGGGTCTACATTTTCTGGGGCTGGAAACACTCTTTAGTACAGGTGCCAATCTGCAGTCTTCCTACAGAGATGTGCTGCTGGGTCATCCTGCAAAGACGTCTAGACCAGTAATTCTCAAACTTAAGAATTCATCAGAATCACTTGAGGGTTTTTAAGAACAAAGATTGCTCAGTTCTACACCCAGAGCTTCCCACTCAGTGAAGATGGGATGGGACAAATAATCTGCAGTTCAAACAAGTTCCCAAAGGACATTACTGATACTAATGCTGCAGAGACCACATTCTGAGGCCAATGATTCTTAATCCCTGGCTGCAGATTGTAATCACCTGGCTGGGAAGCCATAACAAATATATACAGTGCTGCTCAGAGCACACGCTATTCTAACATATAGTTAAGTATAAGAATAATGCATAGATATTAAGAAAACCTGGGACTCAAAATATACTAGTTCCTAATTTCATCTAGATTGTCCTTGTATTTTTTTCCCCTAAAAAGAGAGACCCAATAAGTCTTTTTAACTTATTCTTAATTATTGCATGTCATTGTATCTACATAGAATAACTAAAGATAGAGTGGGTGATGGGGCAATTTTTCACTAGAATGTTACCTACTCAATTACATTGCACAGAAAAAGTCTTTAATGATAATTGTTATCATCAATTATAAGAGAATAACTTTTCATAGTAGTGTCAGAAATACCTTTAGAAAGGTTATTATCTGATTGGCTTTGGGCTTCAGAGAAGAACTGTGGTAGACTCAACTCCAATTTCTTTAACTGTTACTTAATTAGCCTATCAATGTAAAATTGCAAACATAGATTTATATAAGGACAGGTCACTTTCCCCAGTTTTTGCCGTAGTTTTTCTTTAAAATTAGAAGCATAAGATTCACTAAAAAATAGGTTTTTACACATAAATTAGTTAATTAAACTTATCAAGTTCCTTCATTATTCCTTATTTCTCAATTAGTTTTTGCATTTTGGGGAGCATCTACTTATAATAATAAGGTTCTATCATTAAGCCACTCTAAATTTTGCTTTGTTAAAAAGATAAATTTCCATACCACCAAACTTAGAGTTTAAGAAAAACTTTCTGGTTCTTTTTACTCATCAGAATTACCTGGGTATGCAGAAGCTCTTCTTGAAGTTGGTCTATTTTCTCTTTGTCTGACACCTAAATGTTTAAAATAAATAATTTTATTGGAGTAGAATTAGGTTTATATAGAATATACAGTAAGTTAATGTTTTTAAAAAAGCATTTTTAAGAGTGAAAACTACTGGCTTTATATGGATATTTAGTCAAAGCAAATTTTAAATCAAATGCTTATTTAAGTAAAAATATCTTATTCATTAATAAAAATAGCTCATCAAAATTTTATATTAAGTGAAAACCTTAAAAAGCAACCATCTTCCTATTGCCATTCTAGTCATATATGGCTGGCTTGTTAGAAAAAGAAGAAAGCAACACATATGGTTACTATATTCTTGATAGGTTATTTTGTACTCAAGCACAGGGACTTGGATGCTTGGACAAATAAGGCAATAACATCCTTACAGAAATGTTTTGGGAAGTCAGACACATGTTATCATTTACAGCTCCTGAAAAGTTCATTGGTCATAGTGTATCTTTAAGCAAACACTATCCATTTCTATTCTGTAAGTAGGAAAGCGTTTAATAAATGCAAAGAACAACTTGCATTTTCAGAGCTTTAAGCGGAGCCAGATGCTTATTTTTAAATTCAGTTCCAATGCAAGATCTGCTAACCCATAATAAAGCGAATGCATCAGGAGCAATGAAGTTGAGTAAAGCAACTAAAATTGATTTCAACATAAAACAAAAGTAGGATAAAATCCACAGGTATTGGGGAAACTACTCCGAATTGTTATTAATGCTAATATTTCTAAGATAAAATATTCAAAACAACAAAAAACTTTATTCTATAACAGGCTTTCAAGTAGTCACAATTCCAAATATAAAACACAATAATCAACTGTAATTAAAATGATGTCATTTATGACAAATACATGTAACTGTACTTTGACTCCCTGGTGAGATGCCAAAGTTGCCATTCTCAGTCTTTCAAAATAATTATCTAATTTCTGATACTCAAAATGTTTAGAGATGATTTTATTCCACAGGAGACAAAAATCAAGTTAAAATTCATGTAAATCTTTATTCATCTTTATTCATTGGCTATTTAAGCAGTCAAGACATCATGGTAGCAAATATATATGAAAACATTCTAAATGATTTGCTTATTGAGGTAGACGTTAATAACTCTCATCCATGCAATAAAGTTATTTTGAGAGTTTAATTCCTATTTCCAAATAATTTATCAAAATTTCCCTCAAAATTCTTTTTTTTTTGTTTTTGCAGTACGCGGGCCTCTCACTGTTGTGGCCTCTCCCATTGCAGAGCACAGGCTCCAGGCGTGCAGGCCCAGCGGCCATGGCTCACAGGCCCAGCCGCTCCGCGGCATGTGGGATCTTCCCGGACAGGGGCACGAACCCATGTCCCCTGCATCGGCAGGCGGACTCTTAACCACTGCGCCACCAAGGAAGCCCCCTCAAAATTCTTTTAAATAAAAATGACAATACTTGTTAGAAATGATAGGTATGTATCATTTTTTCCTAAAAAGCCTATGTCTAAAAATTCTAAATTTGGTTTGGTAATTAGAAAAACGATAATATACAACAAACTTTGCCAGAGACTTGTGGATATAAGTGTTTTTCATTTGACTATGTGTTTGTAAAATGGACAAGAATTATTAATCGTCTCCTAAAATGTGAGGAAACAAGCACGTTGGGGAGGAGCCCACAACCCAAAGAACAAAATCTTAAAGGCCAGTGAAGAAATAAATAATTCCATATTTTGACCATATGGCATGCCATCATACTGTAATAGTATGGTCATAAAAATTTTGTTATGCAGATTATATTCCCAGTTCATTTTGAAAGTTTCTCTGATTTACTCTGTTCCGTTAACTATTCATCCAATGCAGTTAAATTAGTATGAAATGTATAAACAATATTAGTATAAACTGTTTTAGTTTTAGATGTGAATATTTAATGATTTCACGTAACATAAATTACAGTAGAAAATCCGACATTTCTCTATATCTGGGGCAATAATTAAGAAACTAATACAATTACACAAAGTTAGAATGTTTACCATAGCCAAGGACTATAAAAGGTTACCTTGATAATTTGGTAAAATAAAAAGGATATATAAAGAGTTAAAATGATATAAGGTTATTAGAACATTACAAATACAATCTTTATGCTAATATTAGTATTTAGTACAATGACTGTTAAGATTTTCATAAATTTGGATTCTTAGGAATATTTAAATTTATCATGTGCGCTTCTGGCAAGACTGTTAGGAACAACTCATGCAGTTTTACCAATACACTTCCTATCTGCTTGGTTTAATGTTAAATTAAAAGATTAATGTTATTATATAAAAGACACGTGATGGTGGAATCAAGAATTAGACCTAATATTTTCTAGGAAATAAAATCAAAACATTTAGGTTCACAAAATAAATATTAAAGATTAATGATAAGATACTTTTACATATTTTCTTAAGAGACTAGTACATGCTATTGTTAGTCTATCATTTATTTGAGGTCTTAACTAGCAACCTGGGTATATTTTATTTTGATGCACTTTACTGGTAAAATTCAGCTACTTACAGTAAGTTCTTGTCCTACTGTTTAATATATTTAGTTTTCATTATGAAATTAATTTAAAACTCACCCTGACAGAAAGGGGTATCAATAGTCTTGAAACCAGAGCTTTTCTACAATTCCAGGGCTGTAAAATTGATGGAGAAAGAGCGGAACCCTCTGCAGAAACAAGCTAAAGCTGAAAGAGAAAAACCTTTACTAGCTCCTCACAAAACCAAGCCTGATTTTTAAATTTTAAGTATCTCTTCCTACTAAGCAATTCTGGACATTCTGAAATACAGAAATGCATAAGACTCATAAAAATTTTTATGTATGTGTACATATTCACAGGAGGCAAACCTATCAATGGCAGTCTTAATCTGCTGTCTCTCCTTTGCTCAGATGATACAGGGTAAATCTATTAGCTGCTACTAATAAGACATAAATAATGAAGGCCTACTTATATTTTCAAGGTGTAATAAGAAATAATGGTCAAAAAGCAACAAAAACTAGCTGTGGCTTTGTACCTCAAGCAAACCTCAAATGCTTAGAATGATAAAAATCTAATCAAATTAGGATTTTGGTTATTATGACAATGTAGGGCTGAAAAGTCATCTGTGTACTAACTATAGGGGGAATAAAGGGGAAGATACAGTAAGGAAACCATCTTTAAGGACAGTAAAAGGAATGATATTATTATAGAGGAGCATAAATTGTTTTTAGTCTCATTTACTTTCACACAAGGTAACTGCAAAGTGGGCAGGAACAAGCCCTGTTTCGTGCTCTACTAAGTATGCCTTAATAAACAAAACAGATGGAGGTACAGTCCTGCCAGTAGCTCTTTTACAAATGTGTAAAGTGAGGAATAAAAGGGTTACATGGATAATCCAATAAATATTAGGAATAGGAAGGATAACCGTAAGCCTGAAAAAAGGCTAGTAAAGTTGGCCCCAAATGAACATTAACCCTTGGCAGTATAGAAAATAAACAATATTCACTACTGATATTGCTTAAATCATCAGATTCAACAGCACATCAATAATCTTAAACTGTATCTTAGAATCTTAAAATAGCAGATCTATAGGACTCGTTGCAAATTATTTTACCATTATGAAAAACACAAGAACTACTAGTAACTAGAGCTATATTCATATTCCTAACTAACGTACCAAAACACAGTAGCTCCCTCCCCTTCTTTCTGTAACAAAGCTAAGGAACAGAGGGCTTAGCCTAAGCATCCAACTTGTTACAATATTTAAATGGTACTCTCAACAGCATGAGGAACAGAGAATGCTAAAGCACCATTTAAAGTAAGCCCTCCCTTGGGACTTCCCTGGTAGCACAGTGGTTAAGAATCCGCCTGCCAATGCAGGGGACAGAGGTTCAATCCCTGGTCTGGGAGGCTTCCACATGCTGTGGAGCAATTAGGCCCGTGTGCCACAACTACTGAGCCTGCTCTCTAGAGCCCGTGAGCCACAACTACTGAGCCCACGCACCACAACTACTGAAGCCTGCACACCCTAGGGCCCACGCACCACAACTACTGAGCCCATGCACTGCAACTACTGGCCCATGCACTCTACGGCCCGGGTGCTGCAACTACTGAGTCCGCGTACATAGAGCCTGTGCTCTGCAACAAGAGAAGCCACCGCAATGAGAAGCCTGCACACCGCAGTGAAGAGTAGTCTCCGCTCACCACAACTAGAGAAAACCCGCACACAGCAACGAAGACCCAACGCAGCCAAAATAAGTCCTCCCTTGGTTTAACACAAGTAGGAAAATAACTTGTTTTCTATTTCTACCTATGTTATTCATTCACTGAAAGCTAAACAACATACAGGAGTTGATTCCACAGCCATGGAATTGAGAAAAGCCAGGTAGTGATACTGAAAAAATAAATGAAAACTATGATGAGTATTCTCAAGTATTAACCACCACCAAATGCGACAGGGTTAGCCAGCAGAATTATTGCACTAATTATCTACAATATTGGTTGATTTCAATATCAGAACCTACAGGAAGCTAATTATATGACTGAATCTTTTTTCCTGAGTAAGATTTGCACCTAACTCCAAAATTTTTCTTATCTAATATATGTAACACAAATAGCTGATTTCAAGATCTTAGAGTATAATTTTAAAATCATTACATACAGTTCATTTGACTCTAGTCTCTTTAGAACATTAACCTTGGGATCTATACTATAGGATCATCTAACAGCCAAAAGTATATCTTTAAGGATTCCTTGGTTGCTCCTATAACCAAACATTTGTATACTGTTATGCTGAGTTTTATCAGAATCTGTTCTTTATTGACCAGAATTATATCAAATTTCCAATGTTCAATCCTGCAGTAGACAAGGTGAAAATCTGTGACTTTATTAATAAATGTGGAAAATCTTTATACAAATTTATCAAAGTATCTAAGAATAACTTTGCCCCAAAGTTAAGTTTTTGACTTACAGTTTCCTTCTGTAAGAAATAAGAATTCTCTGCTGATTCATTTTAACTAAAACAAATACATTTCATTCTTTAATTTAACATGGTCATTCACAGTAACCCTTTTCATTTTACAAATGAAAACTTGGAGAATAGACAAGTTGGCTACAAATTTAAGGTGACTCAATAACTGGACCAAGTAAGCTGCAATTCATAACTCTTATCTAAGTACAAATCCATGAACCCTCACAGATAATCTAATTTTCAGAAAATAAATTCCTATGTTTAATATTTTGGATTTACCTACTCTAGGAAAGTTGCATATCTCTATTATCTTTCATATTTTTACTTTGTCAAAAATAATTTCTCATAATTGGAGTCCATGAATGGATTAAGGTGACACGATCCTGGTAGAAACGGCTGATTAGTGTGAACATATCAGTAGCCCCCTTAAACCATCCATCACCTTGCGCTTCTGTTGGGCATGGCTCGTGCTATATTGGCCTGCGGCTCTGCGCGCTTCCTCTTCATGCTCTTGAATTTGCTGTTGTAAGAGAATGAGCTCACCAAGCAGACCCTGCCATGAGTTTACAACGAGGAGAAGAGGAAAATTGGGGAGGAGAACAATGTTAAACCAAAGGGCACAAGAAAGGAACAGATGTAAGTCAGAGAAGAATGGATAGCTTATAACAAAAATGGAAACTCAGTTATGTACCTTTAGAGCCACTATATAACTAGGTTCTGTACTACATTTCCATTTTTCTCCTCAGTAAAATTATGTCTCAGAAATATAAAACAGCATAGTTTAATAAGTGAAAAGGAAAATGCAATAAGTGACTGCTGAATAAAACGAGCCAGATATATAATATCAACATACAGTAAAACCGAGACTAACTGGAATGCTCAAGGAAGGTGGCACTATAGTTAACTAAATGTCCTAGGAACAGAAAAACTGAGAAAACAAATACTTCAACCCTTATTTTTGAATTGCCAATACGAACTAGTGTACGCTCCTGACTTGATACATATGGGGGAAAAAACAAAACTGAGTTTTGAACAGTGTTGATTTCAAAGGTCTGAATCTTCTAATTCTCAACCATAAGTTTCATAAGACTAAATAGAGAATACATAATAGCTTAATCACTTATTAAATTATTATTCTTAAGTTTTCCTTGACATCTGATGTCTTCAATTAAAGACCCCTCAAGGGACTTCTCTGGAGGTCCAAGTGGTTAAGACTCCAAGCTCCCACTGCAGGGGGCGTGGGTTTGACCCCTGGTCCAGGAACTAAGATCCCATATGCCACATGGCGTGGCCAAAAAGTAAATAAATAAAGATCCCTCAAAACGTAGTTTTGAGCATCAAGTTAATCAAGGTTTTATATTAATTCATAATTTTACATGTCTATGCACAGAATCTTATTTGATTAAAATCTAAGGGTTTTTTTTTTTGCAAATTAAAAAATAATGTTTGAGGTACTGTTTTAGCTTTATACAACATCAAATAAGTAGTTTGACTGAATTTTCACTTTTTATAAGCTGTTTTGACATTAAATAAAAATGGCCTCTGAGAATATAACCAAGGATATATCAATTACTAAAGCACAAGCTCAATAAAATAACATAATTAAGATATGGAGATAATATAGTTACTATGAAAATAAAAATGAAACAAAACCCAGTTTGGACCTATGCACAAAATAATCATCATTTCTATGTTTAAAATTCATTCCATTTAATAATCATGAAATGTTCATCTGATGCAATGTATTCACTTGTGACATGAAACGAAAATACATGTCATTTTCTGTACAGTGTTTTTAATTGCTGTCTATTAGATAATCAACCTCAAGAAATGTAGGAGAAAAAACAACTAGCAATTGACAATGTCAGGAACCTTATATTTTCTCAATTAGAAACCCTAAAAAGGCAAAGTTCCAATGAATGAGGTCACTCTTTAATTTGTACAAGAATAGTTTACCTGGGAGAACAATTTTTACCAAGTTATAATAATAAAAAGAATTAGGAAAACTAACACTCATTAGGAGTTTCAAATAGCTTCACAGCTTTATAAAATAACTGCCAAAACTATTTTATTTTGTATAGTACAATTATAAAGTTTCTTAAAATGAAATATTGGTTAACGTTACATTCAAATTTTAATTAGTAGACTCACCTGGAGGCTTAATAACTTAATTTATATAATCCAAAGATTTATATAAATAAAAAAGTTTACCAGAAAAGAAATAAATACAAATAGAAAAGCTGTATTACAGTAAAGCACTTTAAATTAAGGGAAATATTAGCAAACAATTAGGGGGATTTTTATTTTGTTTGATTCTTAGTTTTAATACATTAAGTTATACCAACATAATGAAACTGGTTGACTTACTATATAAATCAAAGGATGAAACTAGGTGATATTTCTTCATGAAAAGTAAGAGAACATCAAAGTGGCAAGTAACGTAACTGAACTTTCAACATTTGTTTCCAAATTCAATAGTACAAAATATATTTATAAAAACCTGCGGTTATCTTTTAACATGTATCTTTTAAATAAACACTTTTATGGTCATTGATAAATCTATCAAAGAAATGCAATGCCAACTCACTACCCTCATCATTCCCATAATTTTTTATGTCCTTTTTTTTCATTTTTTGTATCACTGCCTTTCATCAAGCAGAAAGAAAAGTAATCCAACTCATTTTTATTCATTTAGTCATTTATCATAATCACTTCTTCTACTCATCCAAGTGTTTAGATTTCTCAAAACAGTTCCCTTTTAAAGATGGCTTCCCATGTTGGCTTACACATTAGTGTACCTGTGCTTTAATTAACATAATACCCAGTAGTATAAGTTATAAAATGCTAAAGCAGTGAGAAAATATTCCACATTTCTTAACTGTGCTGGTCTATCAGGCACAGGATCCTTGTTTATTCATAGCTTAAACACCCCTCCCTAATCCACTGTTTATATGTACACACAAAGTGTATGGTAAATATCTAATATCTATTACAAGAAAAACACCCTCTCTTTCTAGTGACACCTCACTTTCCTTCCAAGTCTGTTACTGAAGCACTTTTATGTGAAGGTAGTTGAAATTAACTGTTACCTCCTAAAAAAAGTAGGAAGAAAACAAGAATTAGACACAGAAAAAGCTATATACACTACACTAAAAAAGGTTACCATTATCCAACTTTAGGCATCAAATCTCACCCTAAGCACAGCTGGATTAGCTTTTAAAGCTAAGGCTTGTGGAATAAGGAAGGGAAAAATGTGTGTGCCTCCTGTGCAAGATGAGGCATTTGTTCATGCCTCCTTACATGAACAGAACACTTTTACTCAATAAATATTTTCCCAAGTTCAGACATTCTTCTCTCAAGAAACAGCACATAATTGTTTTTTAAATGATATATATTACATTAAAAATGTACTAATTGTGATCTTTAACAATAGTTATTGTAAACAACCACAGATGAATACTCTCTAAACATCTCCTGGTTACTGTCAATTTGACGCTGCAGTTCTCATAGTCCCATATTTCATGTACAGTGTTCTCGGGTTTTTAAAAAAGTATAACGTCAGACCAAGAAAATCAGTGATAACTCCAGAAACCAAAATGTCAACTGAAAATGCTGCAAATACCTCTAGAAGTTGATAAGCTTGTTAGAAAATATTTTTTAAAATCTTGAAATTATGACTCATTCTTATGTGAATACATTTAAAATGCTATATTTTTGGGAATTCCCTGGCAGTCCAGTGGTTGGCACTTGGCGCTCTCACTGCTGGGGCCCTGGGTTCGATCCTTGGTTGGGGAACTAAGATCCCACAACCCGGGAGGCATGGCCAAAAAAATAAAATAAAATAAAATATTGGGTTGGCCAAAAAGTTTGTTTGGGTTTTTCTGTAAGAGATGGAAAAACCTGAACGAACTTTTTGGCCAACCCAATACTATATTTTTAACAGTATTCTAAAGGGCCCATACCTTGTTTGTTTTTATACCTAACACACAGAATAAGGCCTGACACTTCAGATGTGTTATGGCCAGCACCTAGGATAGGGCTTGGCCCATGTCTGTTGCTTGAATGAATTAAATGATAACCTACTTTTACCTAAAAACGCACACAGTTTACAGCACAAAATCCAAATTGGGTTTCCTAAAAATTGCCTATTCTGTAAATAAGCTACACATCAACCCTACAGTCCATTTTCCCACTTATCACAATCCCCAGAACAGATTCAACAGGAATTAAGAGGAGGAAATTAATCAAATAATGTTAATATGCTAACTCATGGAATAATTCTAAGTGTTAGATGATAATAATCATTATTATTATCATTACATTAGTATTCATTTAGTTTTATCATGTGTCAAGATCTTGTGCTAAAGGGCTTTACGAAATGCTCACAATAACCCTTATCAGGTAGGGTTCCCCCTATTACTGAAGAGGAAACCAAAAACTCAGAGAAGCTAAGGAACTTATCCAAGGTCACACAGCTCAGAAAACAGGAAGGACAGTCTGAATACAGGCAGTGTGACTCCAAAGTCTACACCTGATACCTGTTAGCTCTACAGTCTCACTATTTTCAAAGTGCCTTTGACCCTTCACGTTCAATTTACATTTAAATAAGGAAAATGGTAAAACTGCAATATTTCGGAGGGCAAATGTAAATTACTCTTTAGAGAAGGAGTTGACAAAGTACAGTGGGCTACCTGAGTAGTCCTAGAGACCACAGGGCTTGCAAACCTAAAATATTTACCATCTGGCCTCTAAGGAAAAGCTTGCCAACCCGTTTATTAGTTTTAAAAGTAACTTGGGTCCAGAAAAGAACTTCGTGAAAGTGAAGACTTCTTTCCCCTTCCATTTAAAAAATATTCCTAGGCACTAAACTACTTTTCAAAGTTTGAATAATTCTGCTATTTCATTAGCTAAAAAGATCTATTTTCCTCCCTCCCAGTAATATATAATTCAGCTCAAGATATTTACAGCCAACTAAAATATGTTTATTATTGGATATCAGAAAGAAGTATGTCTTTCTACTTGAATTATTTAATTTGCTCCAACTGAGAAATATCACATCCTATTTGGACAATTTCTACAAATAATTAATTTCAAGAGTTGAACAAATCAGTCTATTACCAATAGTTTTTATCGATAATACAATTTCTACCAAATCCCCTTTGTTCTAAATTATTACCTAAAAATAGTGTTATGTACACAGTATATATTTAATGTTTTTTAAATGACATAAAAATGCAATATGCTTATTATTAAGGAATAAAACAAGTGTCTAACCAAGTATAGTTGCCAATTGTTAGCTGCTTAGGAAACCTAAGTTTCCTGAATCTGCGGCTACTTGAGGGTGCTGGTTGTGAGAATTTCATTTTGCCACAGTTTACATTATTTGTTGCATGAGGAATCCCAGAAATGTTAAGTCCTACTTAAGCAACACTGCTTTGTTACAACTCAGAATTCCAAGTATAAGTGCTACCTTCACATTCTTGCTCTCCTCAATAGTTGTCAAATATTGAAGGCCAGGAGAAATTCAAAGGTAATCAGAGCAAAAAGACACATTACATAAAATCTTTGGGCCCACTCTTGTTAGCATTAATCAAATCTGCTTACTTTAAATCAGACTTTTACTGAGTCAAATCAACTGATGAATTGTGTTAAGAGTTCAGCATTATCCTAGGCGCTCTGAGAACAGAGATTTTGTGATAGAAATAGCCTATTGAACAGTAAGAATGAAAGCCAAAGTAAATAGTGTTTCCTCTGTGAAATGTTTTAAATTGTTAAGAGAATAATTATTGGGACTAAAATGGTTATGGAAGGCTTCACAGAGGTGACAACTGAACTGGGCTTTCAAGATGAGTGGAAATTAGGCAGAGAAAAGGGAAGAGAGATATTTCAGAGGGTAGGTATAAAATAAGTAAAGCCACACAAATAAGAATTACAGTAACGTGGAAAGGAAGATAATTACTACTTAATGATTATTTTTAAAAGAGTAACAATACTTTTTATGATTTGGACTTCAAATATTTTCTATAAATTATAAATGGGCTTGTACCCTTCAGAATGACCATATTCCTTACTTCTATGAGATGTTTATGAGCCATCAGAAACATGATAGAACAAAAGCACAGATAATGTCTCATTTAGCAAATTAATTTTCACTAGAACACAACAATGTTACTGAATCTAAAAAAAGGAGATACACTAAGTGGTCCTGTCACCTATATATACTATGACTGATATACAGATATCTACTGACTTACAAACCAGGTGAGTCCATTAATTCACTAAAAAAGGCTTGCCACTCCAATTCCGAATTTGTCTTCAGGTAGTTCTAAAGGTCTCCAGGTCTCAAGAATATTATTCAGGTCACACTAAGGGCTCTTTCTAATATTTTTCTATAGTGAACACAAGTTTAAAAATTTTTGACTAACTAAAAGCATTTACTAAAATGTGGTTTCAGTATTTTTCCATTTTTTATTTATCAAAAATACGTAGAAGAACTTTTGATAAACATTACTGTCCACAAACTGAACGGATATAAATACAGGCAAAATCAAAGAAACTTGAGGTTTAGTTAGCCTGTGTAGCATTATGTGGGAATAGATGCTTTTTGACTTTTTGAAGACCTCAATCACAACTTTCCAGAACACCTAAAAGTCCAGTGACCCCAGACTGGGAACCACAGGTAATCTGTCTATTGTGTAGTTCATTCTGCCTGACTCAAGTCAATCTGGCATCTGTGTTCCTGCAACGCCCTGTCACTTTCACTTCAGTTGACTTAGAAAGGTTCCTAATTGTCCCTCTTCTTGCCAGCACTTTTCCAGATGTGTTCTCTTATTAGAAAGAACAAGTTTTCTTTTTACTTCTAGTCGAAATGTTTTTAATTTATTACTACATTAAAAAAATCTGATTCACATTTACTTTTACATTTCTAATAGAAGTCTAGCCAGAAACTTTGGTATAAACCCAACGATCATTAAGCTAAGGCATGAACACCATTTTAAATCTTGGGGCTCTCAGACAT